TCATCTGATTCATATGAACAAGCATTTTTGTTGTATCAATCAATTACCACTAATCTCCAAACCCCCCTGACAAGATTTACAACAGCTTATTGTGCGCATGCGCACAAAAGATCTAAATCTTGATATGATAGTGATTGCATTAAAGCAAAAAAAGCTCTCTTAAATGCAATAATTTCCTTTCGCCAGGAAAATTCGGCGAACACTTCTAAATTACTCAAGATCACAATTTTTTAAAATAAATATCTCTTAAAGATAAAGAAACAACAGGCTATAAGAGAAAATTGGGGTAATCTAATTTCAGCAGCAAAGCTCAAAAATTTTACTTTGTTCTGGCATTTAATAAATCAGTCTTTTACAAATAGAAGTTTTGGCCCTATTTCACAAATATCTGCTGACAAATGGGAGGATCATTTTAAAAACATCTTTAAGCGGATTCCTGCTGTAATTTCAGAAGTGATCCCCCCTTGCAATGACCTCCTGGATTGGCCTCCAGTATTCATAGCTGAGGTCAAAGAGCTTATTGCCCAGTTGAAATCAGGTAAAGCATCCGGAGGGGATTTTATCCCCCCAGAATTAATAAGGGAAAATAAAGACTGGTGGGCCCCAGTTTTAGCCATCCTATTCACTCATATTAATAACATAGGACATTTTCCATCTGATTGGAATCAGGCCATTGTAGTACCGATATACAAAAATAAAGGAAGTAGACTTTACCCTGTAAACTATAGGCCTATTAGTTTATTAAATACAATAAATAAACTCTATGCCAGATTTTTATATACAAAGTTAGTGGATTGGGTACAAAATGAAAATATTATTGCTGAAGAACAGGCCGGATTTAGGGAGGAACGTTCAACTCTGGATCACTGTTTAATTCTGCACCATTTGGCTGAAAAATATTCTACCCCCTCTCGTGGTTCTCTTTATGCAACTTTTGTTGATTTTAAGTCAGCTCTTGATCTAATACCAAGGGAGAGATTGTGGTATAGTCTAAGACATTCCACAATTGATAAAAGGCTGTTGGTTCTCATTCAGTCGCTCTATTCAAATACCTCTCTAAAAATCAGATGTTCCCCCTGGGGACATTTATCTAAAGCAGTTCCAACTTATAGAGGTGTAAGGCAAGGTTGCATATTAGCTCCACTACTTTTTAATTTGTACCTAAATCCAATAATGCAAGTGCTTGCTGATCCAGCCCATCATCCACCTATCTTGGCTGATTGTGCAATTCCAGCACTATTGTATGCTGATGATATAGTTATTTTGTCCACTTCTCTGGTGGGAATGAGAAAAGCACTTAGGGCACTAGCTTTATTTTGCATAGAATACAAACTATTAATAGATTATGAAAAAAACTAAAGTTTTAGTATTTGCCTCTTACCATCATAGGATCCATAAATGGCAAATTGATGGGACTCCAATTGAACAGGTGCGTACCTATAAATATCTTGGAGTGCAGTTCCATGCCTCCCTATCCTGGCATACTCACTTTCTTTATCGGGCAAGTGTTGCACAGCGCACCTCATCAGCTATCATAAAATTTTATCATTCTAAAGGAGCTTACTACATCCCGGCAGCTTGTAAGGTTTTCCAAGCTAAGGCAGTCCCTCAGCTCTATGGCTCGCAAATATGTTCACTTGCAAAGCTTAATGCTATTGAAATTATTCAAAATAAGTTTATTAGAGCCATACTGATGGTACCTAAATGTATTAAAAATGCCATCCTATGGGTGGAAATAGGTTTAGTTTCATTGGAAGCTAGAGCATGGTTCCTTTGGCTAAAGTTAATTTTGATGCCTGTAGGGTTAGCCCCGTTAGTATTTATAGATCATTTTAAATCGTGGGGAAAAAAAGCACTAGATAAAATTAAATCGCTGAGCTTCTCTATGGAAAGTCTGTATTCATTAGGATTTGATAATGTTAGAACTGCCTTGAAACAACATATCTGGGATATTGATCTCCAAACAAACTTAAGTAAGGTGGCACATTCCAATATTTGTCACTTGCTTCCAGAAGGATTCCTCCCAGCTTCTTATCTATTTTCCATTACAATTTTGAAATTTGGTAAAGCTTTCACCTTAGCCAGGCTGGATGCGTTGCTCTCGGCAGTCCTTTTTGGACGGTTTAAGGGCATTCCTATGCACCTTCGGTTGTGTCCATGTGGTGATGGCTCTATAGAAACCCTAAGCCATATGCTGCTTCATTGTTCTTTATATAAAGCAGCGGTTCTCAATCTATGGGTCGCGACCCCATTTGGGGTCGATCGACCATTTCACGGGGGTCGCTAAGCAAGGCTGTCTGCCATTTTTTTCCCCTTTTCCAGCGGGTGCCTTACCTCCCTTGGGCTGGGCCAGCTGGTGGTCGGCCTGCTCCGTCTCTGCCGCTTGCCAGCTACGCCTTGGCCGGCGCAGGGGGCGGAACCACGCATGCGCGGCGCTCCTGGGCAGGGAAAGTCCTTGACTTACGACCGGTTGGGTAGTCCTCGATGTACAACCGGTTTAGTCCTCGACTTATGACCGGTTTAGTCCTCGACTTACAACCGGTTGGGGGTCGTGACATTAAAAAGGTTGAGAACCACTGATATAAAGACTCTAGGCAGATTCTTATATATCCGATATTGAAGACGTTTCCAGATAGGGGATATGAATTTTATCTAAAGTTGCTACTTTCGGATAAGGATCCGAAAATATCAATTCAGGTTGCCCAATTTTGTGCCACCATTTGCACAATACGTCGCACCATTATTAAGGTCTGAAAAATTTTAATATGATGTTTTATTTTGAGAATTTTGGATTATATTACATTGATTGTTTGATGGTTTTATATTCTGTAAATATGGAAGTAAAATTGTCACTGTTGTTATATTTTGATTATGTCTGGCCTTATGGCTGTAATAAACAGATTGATTGACTATTTGTTCTGCGACCATTTACAGTGGCACTGAACAAATGCTCTTATAAGTTCTCAAAGTTGCATATCCCCAGTTAGGTATCTAAATTTAGGTGCTTGGCAGCCAGCCCACATTTATGATTGTTGCAATTCATGGTCACATTCTCCTGACCTGCATAAACTGTCTCCTTGAACTCCTTGCACTTGCCTATCTCCCCCCATCTCTGCCCTTTTGGCCATCTTTCATAGCAGGGCAAGATGAAGATGCTGCTGTATTCCGTCACGGCCACCCCCTGCCTCTCCCAGCTGACTTTATTGTCTTCTTTGCCTTGCTACACCTACACAGACTGCTAAAGCAGATGAGACTGGAGAGGAAATGGCAGTGAGCATGCGTGCATGACTCCCAGCTGGCAGTAGCCTGAGACTGTTGAAGTGGGACAGGCCTACTGGTGGCCAGGGCAGGGAAGCAGGGGCAAGATGATGACAATGAAAGTTAGTTGGAGGGACTGCAGAATACAGCAGCATCTTCATCTCAGCCATGCTGTACAGCAGCAGCTCCCAACCTTTTTGGCACCAGGGACTGGTTTCATAGAAGACAATTTTTCCATGGATCAGGAGGGGGGAGAGAAGAAAGCAACCTAGATTCCCCGCATGCACAGTTTACAGTAGGGTTCACGCTCCTATGAGAATCTATTGCCTGATGATCTGAGATGGAGCTGAAGCTGTGATGCTACTACTGGGGAACGGCTGCAAATACAGATGAAGCTTTTCTCACTTGCCCACTGCTTACCTTCAGTTATGCAGGCTGGTTCCTAACAGGCCACAGACTGGTACTGTATAGCCCCTTGCTGTATAATACAGCCAAAACAGCATAGATAGGGGGGAGAGGTAAGTGGGTGGGTGCTATAGTATGGTGCAAGTGGGGGTAGGTACTATGGCCTATGGGTTTCTTGAGAGTAGAGTCAATGCTGTCTTCCCCATTGACTGCTTGTAAGAAGATAGCAAATAGTGATCAAGTGCGAAGCACTCAAATTCTAATCATGTTACTGGAGTGCTGTGACAGTTGCAACTTCAAGGATCAGCCATAAGTCCCAATTGTTCAGTGTCATCATAACTGTCACTGGTTGCTGAATGAGTAGTTATAACCTGAGGACAACCTGTAGTAATAAATATCTTAAAATTGACATTCAATAAAGACATTGGTCTTATATGACTGAGATTTTTTGAATTGTTCTTTGTGCATTAATATTGTATATGCTTCTTTTCAAGTCTTTGTTATTGTTTTTGTTATTTGAATTTCATTCGTTTTCTTCAACAGTGGTTCACTAGTCCTTCTTCTAGTTTTTTATATTATAGAGCCGACAGCCCATCTCTGTAAAATGCCTTATTTATAGACATCCGTAAAGCATCAACTGTTCAGTCCATATGCAAGCAAAAAACATTGCCAAGTAACATATTTCATTTTAAACTATCTGGATCAAAATTTATTTATTTATTTATATTTCATATTTCTTTATTGCCCATCTCCCTCAGAGAGGAGCTGTTTATGTTATATAACTTTATATTCCTTTCTTTTATGTCTAATAATCTTAATCTTTAATATATCATTCTCATATTGTCATAGGATTTGATTTCTCTCCAATTCTTTGTTCCATTGCACAAATTTCTTCAAAGCTTCAATAGGCCTCTTTTGTGAATTAAATAAAAAAAATTATCCAGGTCATGCTCTTCATTTGTCATTTGTATTTTCTTTTTGATTTTAAACCTCACTCAGTTTCTTTTGTATATCCAATAAAGCATCCTTTTTCCAAGGCATTCTCTTGGTCTTTTATTTATAAATCCACTTTTGGTACCATCTAAATAATTTTTTGAAAAATTTAAAATATTAAAAAGCTTCATAAGGAAGAAGTACTAATTGAAATAGAATTTATATACAGATGCTACATTTGTAACTAAGGCGGCATTTTGAAAATGAATCTGAATCATTGTTTAAACCTAGAATGTACTCATCTTGTATCTCAAGAACTGCCATAGGTAATATATATTTATATTTTATTTTATGCTACTATATTTTGTATGTAAATCTTTTGCTATATTTGTTTTCTCTTTCAGGTTTTTCTCACTGATTGCAGTGTACATTATTGGAGGATTCCTCTACCAACGTCTGATAGTAGGAGCAAAGGGCATGGAACAGTTTCCTCATTTTGCTTTCTGGCAAGATCTTGGCAATCTAGTAGCTGTAAGTGTATTTTAGGTTATATGGATATGGATAGTCTTCAGTTAACAATTGGATTGGCATTTCCACCACTAAGTGATGCACTTGTAAAGTATGACCATACAGGTAGTCCTCAACTTATGACCACAATTGAGCCCAAAATTTCTGTTGTTAAGTGAGACATTTAAGTGAATTTTGCCGCAGTTTACGACTTTTCTTGCCACAGTTGAGTGAATCACTTCACTTGATAAGCCAGTAACCTCGGTTGTTAAGTGAATGTGTTTTTCCCATTGACTTTGCTTGTCAGGTTGCAAAAGATGGACATATGACCTTGGGAAACAGCAACGGTTATAAATATGAACCAGTCTAATTATTAGACTGAAACTCAGTTGTTGACTCAAGAAAAAAGAATCAGGATAAAAGTGTGTGTTGTATAAATTCACACTGAGCATTTGAAGAATTGTAATTACGGATACATTTTATTGTATTCTCTTTGATTCATTCAAATAAGTAAATATTAGCGTATTAAATGAACAAGGAGAATGAAGAAAGGGCTGTCTTTCCAAGGCTACATCAATCTAAGAGCAGAGATCCAAAATCCTGGTATAACTTTGGTAGAAATATTCTTTGAAGGAAGGCTGCAGATGTTGCTTTTGTCATGTACGAGTCTTTACAGTTAGAACAAAGAAGATAGAACAATAGGGTTGGGAAGAGCCTTGGAGGTCTTCTTGCTCAACCCCTTGCTCAAACAGGGGACCCTATAAAAGTAGTCCTTGACTTACAGTCACAACTGAGCCCAAAATTTCTGTTGCTAAGTGAGACATTTGTTAAATGAATTTTGCCCATTTATGACCTTTCTTGTCACAGTTGTTAAGTGAATCACTAGTTGTTAGTAATATGGTTGTTAAGTGAATCTGGCTTCCCCATTGATTTTGTTGGTCAGAAGGTAGCAAAAGGTGGTCACATGACCCCAGAACACTGCAACCATCATAAACATGAATCAATTGCCAAGCATCTCAGTTTTGATCTCAACACCTTGGGGTCTTGGCCATAAGTGTGAAAAACGGTCATAAGTCCCTTTTTTCAGCGCTGTTGTAACTTCAGTCACTAAATAAACTGTTGTAAATTGAGGACTACCTGTACCATTCTGGAAAAATGGCTCCTCAAGTACTGGAGGACCGCTATCATAACCTTCTCTTTGTTAGACTAGACATGTCGAACTCTCTCAATTGTTCATCATATGGTTAGTCTCCAGACCCCTTAGCATCTTTGTTGCTCTTTTCTATGCTCTTTTAAGCATAAATGATCCCTATGCTCAAATCTGTACTTAGACATTGGAATCTGGTTCCATCCTTATTGAATAAATATTAATACCTAGATCTTTGTAGTATTTTGAAATCATAGATCATCAATTTATTGAGGTATTTGGTGCCCCTAGCCAAATATTAACAAATACAAAAACCAAACAAACTACATTTTGGTGTAACATTATGGTTTCTCTCAGGCACTGGTAACTAGGGAAAATAGACTAATCATGAGTCTGGGGCAATAAATATATCCATAAAAGTGTTTTTTAATCAATTTCTAAAGTTTCTGCTATAAGCCATTAACACTTAGATCACTAATGCCCAATATTTAGTAAGATAGTCAGGCATTTGTCAGACCTGCCCCAGCTGGGCCCTCAGGAAAGTAAGACTCTTGAATTCATTGGGTTGAATCAAAAGAACTTTTACAGAGAGAATCTGGATGCATAAAGTTTGGCAGAATCTGAAGGTCCTGCACAAAGCGTAAAGCAATTCTTTCAGTTTCTCAAACCCAACTCCCCCTGACGAGTCCACAAGCAGCCAATGTGATGCTGAGAAGATGTTTGGAGAACGCTGAGTGCTAGACAGATAACAGTTCACACTCAGGGCACGACAGCCTTGGAACCTGGCAAAAACCAACTGGGAAGGAGTCTGTCTTGTCTCCAAAGACAGTCCCCTCCCTAATTCCCAAGTGAATAGCAGAAACAAAAAATCTCAAGCATGTGATCCCCACTTCTCCTCAGCACAATGGCAGGACACCAGAATATGAATGGTGGATCTTACGTGTTGCCCCCCTGAAAAGTGACGTTCCACAAAATAAAACACAATAAGGAAGGTGAAAAGAGGGTTAGGGTTGACAGCTTACTTAGGCTTATTAGGATATTGATTATGAAACTGTTTAAGGAGCCTAGCAGCTTCAACGTGGTGTTGACCAACCCATTCATTTTGGGATTCAGGAAAATCTTTCCCCGCAACTAAATATTGAACCTATCCCCAATGTCTGAGTGAATCTAGAATGTCCTTAACTTCAAAGTGTTGTTCCCCTTCTATCATTAAAGGCTCAGGCGGTGATGGCAATTCAGGTCTAGGGGGGAGGTAATCTCGGTCTTTAACAAACTGCAGTGGAACACTGGGTGAATATGTCAAAGAGATTTGGGCAAATCTAGTTCCACTGTTACAGCATATAATGTGTTTGATGGGGAAGGGACCTAAATATTTGGGTCCTAACTTCTTCGATGGGTGCAGAGATTGCAGGTATCAGGTGGATAGGTAAATGTGGTCACTGACATTAAAAGTTTTCACTTATTGTCCTCTTGCTTTTGAATGCTTCCCTAGTACCTGCAAAGGACTTCCTCACAACCAGCCAAGTACTTCGTAATTGGGAGACCCATTCTTTTAAAGAAGGCACAGGATGATCATTCAAAGTAGCTCAGGCATGGGTGTGAAGTCTTGTCCCGTAGCCACCTTGAAAGGGGTGAACCCTGTACTACTGTGTATTGGCTTATTGTATGCTACCTCCGCAAATGGTAATGGGTCTGTTCAGTTGTCCTGTTGATAATTAATGTAGCACCTGAGGTATTGTTCCAATACTGAGTTTGTAAGTTCACACATACCCCATTAGTTTGGGGGTGATGACTAGAGCTAAGCTCCTGATCAGTCCTCAGAAGGTTTAGGAATGCTTGTTAGAACTTGGAAGTGAATTGCAACCCCCTATTGAAGATTATGCATTGTGGGGCTCTGTATAGTCAGTAGACATTGCACAAAAAGCTTGGCTAGCGCATGCGCCAAGGGAATTTTCTGGCATGGGACAAAGCACACCTGCTTGGAAAACAAATCAGTTATAAGCAGTGGTGGGATTCAAATAATTTAACAACTGGTTCTCAGAACAAAACCCTTTAAGGGCTTTCCCGCTTATCATTAGTTGTTCTCTGTATAAACTGTATAAACAGGAAAAAGTTCCGGAGCCATGTGGCCCTTTCCCGTATGCACCAATTGGGAAACTAGAGAGATGAAGCATCTATTCCTTACCTCTGAGAAGCACCATCTAGTTTTCACCTGAGTGATATGAACGAAGGGGTCTCCATTTGGTTTCCGTCGCTCCCCTCTTGGACTTTTGGGGAGGGTCCCCCCCCACCTGGAAGGAAGTTGAACGAAAACCAAACATGTTCCAGAAAACAGATTTATCATAACCGGTTTGCTGAACTCAACAGAAAATTAGGTATTGGTTCTGCCGAACTGGTACGAACGGCTGAATCCCACCACTGGTTATAACACCTAACCATATTTCCTGAGCTTTCTGGGAATTCCATTATGAAATCCATGGAGATTGCTGTTGGCTCAGTCACTGGTTGGAGCCCTGGGTTTTTTTCCTGCTGCTGCTTGGCAGAGGCACAAATCGGGCAACTTGCCAGATAGCTTTCAATGTCCTTTTTTAAGGACAGCCACCAATTAAATTTAAAGTTTTCACAAAACCAAAATGCCCAGCAGTTTTTGAATCATAGCTTTTACTCAAAACTAGTAGTCTCTTTCTCTCTGGTATATTTAACCCCCACCCAGGCTAGATCGACCCATATGGAACATTCATTTTTGTGATTTTGAAATCACTTGTCTTCCTGTCTATCTGAGGCTTCTCTCTCACTTGCACTCTGATCATGACTGGAGCGGCCAGTTGGTGCAATGGGATTAACATTTTGATGTCTGATTTGGTACAGTTATACTGAAGCATTCGTGACAGGGCGTCAGCTAGAAAATTCTTGCCTCCTGGGAGGTAGTGCAAAGTAGTTAAATTGGTCAAAGTAGTGTGCCCATCGGAATTGCTTGGGTGACAACTTCTGCGGAGTTTTCAATGCCTCTAGATTTTTGTGGTCGGTTCACACTTCAAAAGGCAGTTTACTCTCTTCAAGGAAATGCCTCCATGTTAAGAGTGCCCAGCGCATGGCGTAAGGCTCCTTTTCCCAGGCCGCCCATTTCCATTCAGTCTCTGACAGTTTTCTGGAAGTGTAGGCACAGGGTTATGGGTTCCCTTGTTCATTTTGTTGCAAGAGTAAGGCCCCTACAACATTGCTAGCGTCTGCCTGAATGATAAATAGGGCGTTTGGATCTGGGTGTTTAAGTACAGGTTTGGCTGCAAATAAGTATTTCAAATTTCTTGAACACTGCCTGACACTTCATAATTCATTTTAAAGGTTGGCTAGGCTTAGGCTTGTCTTTAAAAAATTAGCGATGGGGAGTGCGATATGGACAAAAGATTAGATGAATTGGCGTTAAAAATTGGCAAAGGCCAGGAAGCTTTGCAATTGCTTTCTGGTGAGGGGTGGGGCCGAATCCAATATTGCCTGGATCCTTTGGGAGTCCATCTTGACTCCTTTGTACGATATGTCGTAACCTAGTCTATTTTACTCTGATGGAACTTGCACTTGCAGAGTTTGGCGTACAACTTAGCAGCTTTGTCATGTTAGGATTGTGCTCATTTGCTCCATATTAAAAAACAAAACCAGAGCCAAGTAATTGGAGAAATAAAACTTTTTGTCAGTTGCAGATTTGATATTACTGTTCTTTAATCTTACTTCATTAATCTGTTTGTAGGATGGCTGTGATTTCATGTGCCGTTCTAAACCACAGAATGTACCAGCTGCATATCGTGGTGTTGGTGATGACCAGCTTGGAGAGGAATCAGAAGAGCAAGATGACCACTTGCTGCCCATGTGATCTGGATCTTTTATTTGTGTAGTTCTTACACAAATGACATCCAGTCAGTTTTCCCCTCAGCTAATTCTCCTTTTAAGCCACTTGCTTTCACTTTAAATACCCACTCTTCTGCACACTATTTTTCATATTTGTGATACAAATAAATTATGTGCAAGGTTTATGAACATAAAGCTGTACTAAGGAGTTTTAAACTAAGTGACTGCTCAGAACCATTTTCCAAAAGGGAAGAGATGTGATTATACATAGAAAAGAAATAGTCCATGGAAGAGGAAAGTGTTTGAGAAGTAGTATTAGTAGGATTTGTTCTACCATGACTGAATGTACTTGCATATTTCCTACAGGCTTTATTCTTGAAAAACACTGGATTCTGATTTTTAATTATGCAATTATACAATTTTTTTTATAACTCAGTGAATGTTAGCCAAAAAGGATGCTGTCAGCAACATGTTTAAATGGTCTACATTTAAATGGCAATATTTTACAACGGATTTAAAAGAGCAGACTTTAATAAGAGCAGACTTATAGTTATGGGGGATCTCAACCTGCCATCGGCAGGTGAAACGTCGGCGGTGGCTCGGGAGTTCATGGCCTCCATGACGACCATGGACTTGACCCAATTAGTTCATGCCCCCACTCACACGGGAGGACACACACTAGATCTAATTTTTGTCTCTGGCCAGTGGCAGAATGATCTGGAAATGGGGGAGATAAAA